CACATCATAATGAATTTAGAAAAAAGAAATAGCTGAATAAAATTGAATTTATCCTTTTTCATAGACTAGGCCTGCACGAAGTTAGAGATCACAAATTACTGAAATTTTTAATATGTTTTTTTTACATCAGTTACAAAAACTAAGAAATGTACCAGCTTTCACACTTTGCCCTTGGAGGGTGGATCTGTTGTGACAAGGCCATACACATCATAATGAATTTAGCAAGTAGTAATAGCTAAATAAAATTGAATTTATCCTTTTTCATAGACTAGGCCTGCACAAAGTTAGAGATCACAAATTACTGAAATTTTTAATATGCTTTTTTTTACATCAGTTACAAAAACTAAGAAACGTACCAGCTTTTACACTTTGCCCTTGGAGGGTGGATCTGTTGTGACAAGGACCAATAGCGCTAACACAGAAAGGTATTGATGTGCCGCTAGGACAAAATGCCCACGCCATTCAAGATAAAGGTATCTGGGTACCAGAATCAGAGACTTTAGGGTCCCTTGAACAGATGCACATGGGAAATATTATGTATAAAAGATACGATGGAGGAATTTGCTTTTCCCCCTAAAGAACTGTACTTGCGTCCATACAGGAGCCACTAAGAGACACATTGTGTGGGCACATTCTTTCTGTCTACCTTGGTCTGGGCGTCCACGTGTGCCCCTTGGTTGACGAGGACTTCGGCCACATTCACTCTGTCTTCTTGAGCAGCCAGATGGAGTGGGGTCAGGCCACTCTGCAAAAACGTCCAAGTACACAGGCATGTTTGCGAAGCATTTCATAAATTCCAGGGGAGAAAGCCTAGAATTTCTAGGTTAAAAAACTCTGGAGAATAAGTTTATACACGAGCACTGGGGCAACATTGTTATCTACAGGCTTAATGAAAAATTTCAAACACTCAGAAGCGGACGGAACAGACAGACTCTGCACTCATCACAGAGTCAGCAAGTAGCAAGGTTTTCTTACACTTGGTTCATCCAGCCCTAATTCCTTTTCTCCCCTTTGCATAGTATTTTAAAGCAATTCACAGACTTTATACCATTTCTTCTACATACTTCAGTGTTCACCTTAAAGACTCTCCCCCCCCAAAAAATTATGCAATTTTAATACATCACCAGTGGTACTAGCTTTAGCAAAAAAAGATTAAAATAAAAATCATTTATAAATTGAACATTGATATATGATAATATTTCCCCCATTCAATTAATACTCAAAGCTGACAAATACTTCCTGTATGTTGTTTCTGGGTAAGAAGGATGGCCTGTGAAATGGAATATAAATGCTGTATCATGAGAATTTCCAGGTCATTTAGATGGTGTATGGGTTTAATGAGACTAAATATTTGAAACAGACTGTACCGCAGAATATGCCGACTACATCGCTGTTCTGATGGAAAAAAATTACTAGGACTATGCCCTGGTTGGCCGATGCTTATCCACTGAGCCAAACTGGTCAGGGCAAAAATTATGCAATTTTAATACATCACCAGTGGTACTAGCTTTAGCAAAAAAAAGGTTAAAATAAAAATCATTTATAAATTGAATATTGATATACGATAATATTTCCCCCATTAAATATTAATACTCAAAATTGACAAATACTTCCTGTATGTTGTTTCTGGGTAAGAAGGATGGCCTGTGAAATGGAATATAAATGCTGTATCATGAGAATTTCCAGGTCATTTAGATGGTGTATGGGTTTAATGAGACTAAATATTTGAAACAGACTGTACCGCAGAATATGCCGACTACATCGCTGTTCTGATGGAAAAAAATTACTAGGACTATGCCCTGGTTTAGAAATTTTTGGTGTTGTGAAGAATTTTTCTCATAAATAATAAGAGAAAGTAAGTAGGTATAGATGCTTCTAGATTATTTCCTTTCCTCCATTATGAGCACAGAAGTGAATATCGCAGGCCTTTGTCCTCCCACTTTGCCTATGTACAATGAGAACACCAGCCTGTTCTATTTTCCAGAGAAAAGTACTGGACCAAAAGCAGCGCCAGAAAGGGTTCAGCCCCCTTCCCATCTCACGGCACACATAAACAAAGCGGTGGTTATTCTGAAAAGTGATTTTCAACCTTTTTCATCTCATGGCAGACATAACCTAATTGCTAAAATTCTGCGGCACACCCAACAATGTATTACATTTTTTGCTCATCAGACCAAAAAAGGTATAATTTTCATTCATTCACACTGATGGCTATTGTTGTGTTGGCTGTTGCCATTTTTTTATTTGACAACCTAAGGGAAAAGAGGTCAATTCCCCTGACTAAATAGTCAGGTGTTGCATGTCTTAAAAATTCCTGCGGCACACCAGTGTGCTGCGGCACACCGGTTGAAAATCGCTGGTCTAGATGCTGCACGTTATTTATTTAGGGGTTGCTATTCTGTCAAACCAAGGACTCCGGGAGGGTAATCCGCATGACTTTTTGATTTTCCCCCTGCTTGACTTTTCAATAATGTCTATAGAATTTTGAAGGAGGCTCACTCAGACTGAATAAAGGGGACATATGAAACGGAGGACTGATGCATTCACTTGAACTCCCAAGAAAAATAAGCCAGGGCCCCAATGGCACCACCCAAGATTGACATGGTCATAGAACAATGTTCCGTGTTCTGCTCTAGAGGAAACAAGTATTGTTAGCCGTAACATTTTGTGAAAGTGTCATGGTCACCTATTCTAAGTCTGAGGCTTTTTGAAACTCGGAAGACACTTCACTGGGGTTACCAGCACACTTGGGGACATGTCCCACTCTCTTGTGTTGCCCTGTCTATTTCCTGCACGCTGTGGGTGACCATCTACCTATGACAGAGTCATTTTCAACTTCCTCAGGCTTCCTTCTCCCCATCTCACAAAGGCCTCATTGTTACCTTTATGTGCACACCTGCTCTCTAAAGATCATCATAATCCTGCATTTCAACTCTGTCTTTTTTCTTGTCTGTCTTCCTCAAACCACTGGGAGCTTGTTGAGGCAGATACTGTACGTTTAATCTCTATATAACCAGCGTTGAGCATCGGTTTTTAATCCACCTACTAATTGATGGAATCAGAGGACAAAAGCAAACATCCTTTAGGTAAAACAGGATATATTCGATAAAGAAAATTTTATTTTTATACTCATGATTTTGGTAAAAAAGTTTTTAAAAAATAATGTGATCGTTAAAATAGCCTCAGTTAAGCTCAGAAGTGACCTGTTAATCTTTTATGGGGTTTTGACCATTGCTCATTTAAAAAATGGTATTTATTGGGGAAAGAGAAAACACCCCCAAGTCAGAATAACCACAGCTCTGTCTAATATTCTATTTGCTTTATAAAGAAATATAGCTACTCGTGGTCTATACAATCCATGTGGGAAAATAGCAACATCAAAATAAAAATCAAAGCAGATCAGACACTAGCACTTTAGCAGTAACTCAAGTTCACGGTCTTCCTTAAAACTGCTGGGAACTACTGGTTACCAGTAAGAAGAGAGGTAAAACAAAGTGTTTCATGCACGAGAAATTTTCACAAAAGCTATTTTTGGGGGGGGGTTAATATTTACTTTTTAGCAAGGAAACAAAGTCTGGTGTTAAATGGGAAGGTGGAATGGGTAGGTGGGAGGAGTGGAGAGACAGTGACTGATGTTTACAACCCTGGCAGCTCAGGAAAAACTGGCAGAAAACTGTCCCGAGTTCCTCCTGGATGATAATGTTCTGCTGATGATTTGCTTTCACACCGGGGCTTATTTAAAAGAGAAAATGACAAGCGAGAAGGGAAGCAAAGATTTACACATGCCATTGTCCTAGGCAGTTTCTTGGTCCTGCGAAGTTCTTGAAAGCCATGTGCTAATGGGAAGCCAGCTGATCTGCTCTTCAAACTGTCCTTGGGAGTATCGCTGTGCTGCGTATATTCAGGAAGGTGGCTGATGGTTTATCACCTATGCCTTTTGGTCTTTATAATTGCCTTTCGATGCCCCATCTACCAAAGCAAACACTGACAAATTCTTTCTAAAGTACTATCCGCCTAAAAATAACCTATGATTCTAAAGTGAATATTCACTTGATTGGAGTATTTGAAAGAAAAGAAAAAGTCAATCACACTGTATTTTAGTATCAAACCCACTGAAAATGTTAACCTGTTAACCAATTGTTCAGGTCTACATTGTCTCTGGGAGAATGAATGAGATACGATATTCTGGGCACACAAGAGAAAATACACTTTAGTGCAGTGATGGCGAACCTATGACACGCGAACTCATTTTTTTGGTTGATTTTTCTTTGTTAAATGGCATTTAAATATATAAAATAAATATCAAAAATATAAGTCTTTGTTTTACTATGGTTGCAAATATCAAAAAATTTCTATATGTGACACGGCACCAGAGTTAAGTTAGGGTTTTTCAAAATGCTGACACGCCGAGCTCAAAAGGTTCGCCATCACTGCTCTAGTGGATGCCAGAATGTGCTTCACTTTGCGAAGGCCAGGCTCTCTACCTCATGTAGACAAGTTGAATTTTGCAGCCAACTCTTAGCAGGCTGGTTTACATACTGGTAATGAACCTTAGAAAACTCACAAGCTCAAGCAAGTCCTGATTAGAATAACTATTTGACATTGCTTTGTGAGTCCCATTAGTGCTGAGACATGCATTCCTAAAAGGGATGTTTAAAAAGATATGAGAAAATCAAATTGATACACCAGAAAAAAGGGAAATGAAAAAGGTGTTTGCTCTGTAATGATCAAAAAGGATCTTCAAGATATTAAAGCTGAGAGACAGATTTCCCTGGTCTTTTGGTCTACAGAATTTGTTAAATTACAACCTCGGGGATTCAGATTAGTGCAGAGTAACCTTTTTTCAAAATTGTACAAAGTCCAAAATGAATACGATTACTCATTTCCACTGTGAAGGTGCTGAATGTTATCTAGTTAATCCTCATGACATCTCCGTGAAGTAAATATTATCTTTACTAGAGGATGAAACTGAGGCTGACAGAGCTCACATAAATTGCCCAAATGACACATCTCCACTAAGAGTTCGATTTAGGATTTAAATCCTCCGTGATTCTGAAACACAGGCCACATATGTTAAAAATAAAGAACTTGTCATTTGTCACCATAAAACTATTCCTATGTTGAAACTCTACTCCAATATCTGAGCTACAGCTGAGAAATGCCACGGCTGTGCCATCACTAACTGGCAAGGAAAAGCTAACTGCTGGGGAGTTTCAATTATCAAGAATTTGGGGGCATTCTTGCAGGGGGTGTGCTGTTTGGAGACTTAGAAACATCCATTCTGTGTTTTGGGCAGATCTCAGATGCAGGTATTCATTCATAGGTAGTCAGCAAATCCTAATTCTCTGATATATGCAACAATACTGCAATCAGTCTTTGCTCAATTGTGGGCTGGGACTTTCTTCACTAATAATAGGAATGTCAAATATGAGGACCGGAATTTGAAGAATTTTGGGAACAGTCTTTACAAGTTCCTCAGAACTGCTAACTTACATACGAAGACTAAACGTGTAAACTAACAACCTTTCCAATTTATTGAATAAGATAGCTGCTTTAAATTTCTGTTATTAAAATGAACTCTTAGAGAGCAGAACGATTTCCAATTTCTTTTTGTAACCTAGGACTTAAACTGAGATAGGCAAGAAGTAGGTGCCCCAAACATGTCTGTGGAATGAATCAACAGGCTACTGTTTACAATTTCTCACTTGTTACATTCTGGTGAAATAACAATGCTACTCTTTGAATGAACTTTATAACATAACTTCATGTTTTTAGATAAACTTGGTGGACTTCATTTTCATGACTATATGCTACTCAACTGTATGACTTCGCAATTATTGACCTACCATTCTCTTACTGTTTAAACAGATTGTTTCCAAGTTTTTGCCATGATAATTAATACTTTGGTAAACATCTTCTTGTGACATTACACTTTACACTCCCTATCTGACCCAGATTTTTCGTGACTTCCTGATGACTTTCTTGGGAGGCGAGGTTTTGTTGTGTTGTCTACCTTGTGGAGAAAGAAAAAGGTTACCTTATTGCTCAGGTTCACGTTGGCATTTCGGCTGAGGAGCAGTGACACCATGTCCACGTGACCCTCCTGAGCTGCAAGATGGACAGAAGCAATTCCTTGCCGGGTAACTGCGTTTGCATCAGCACCATATTCCAGCAGAGTTGTCGCTATGTCCATCTGGTTCTTTTTGGCAGCGATGTGCAGTGGCGTATAACCATTCTGTCAACATGAACCACTTGGTCACATGCCCGGTCACAAGATAAAAACGTGCGCAGTACATTTTCAAAACAGTATGCCTCCCTTTCTATTGATTTTTTTAAATGTTTTTTTTTTAAATTTTAAATCTTGATTAAATAAGCAAAGACTGATAAATCAGGCAGTGTCATTAATGTAGCGCCCTCATGTCTCCCACATCTAACACGGGAAAGTATAACACTTCTAAACAGTTTAATGCAGGAGTCAGAGTACCATTGGTTTTACAAAAGGAATATAGGGTTCCCTCTTACAGGGAGTTAAGTTAGTAGATGCTCAATAATTACTTGCTTTATTTAAATTGGGGGTGAGAGGAAAACCTACTAGGAAACAACAAACAATATGGTCATGTTCAGATCCATTATTCCATCTTTAAAGTCCCTTTGATTGCTTACAGGTTGAAATTTTTAGTTTTCATGGTAGTCGATTGCTGTAATCTAGCCCTATTTGATCATCTCATTGCCTCTTTCACAAAACTCCAGTCTCTATGCTATGTTTCAGCTGCACCCTTCCCCACAACAACATACAGCTCATGTTTCTGTCTTGCCTACTGTACCAAAAATACTTTCCCCAGCATGCCCTCTGGGCCAGCATCTATCCATTAAAGATTCGGCTCAAGGGTCACACCCTCATGAAGTCTTTTACTTTGCCCCTGCTCCCTTCTACACCTGCTCCCCACTTGACTGACTCCAATCAAAGTCCTGGATATACTTAGCGGCTATCTTAGATATATAGTAATATTTGTTATTATTTATATATGTGTCTCCTACTAAAATATAAATTTATTGAAGGCATGTATTGTGTTATATTTGTCTTTGTATCTCTAGTATCTCACAATGACTGGAGAATCCTCAGAATTTGAGTCAATCTTACTAGAGCTTTGAGAACATTCTCTGATCTTTCTCTTATCTGACCCTTAATGCTCAGAGGAACAGACAACCCAAATTCCTTTGACAAATTTTTT